AAAAATACACCGGAAATTCATTTAGAATGTTTAACCTTAAACTCTCTGAGATAACTCGTCGAAGCTCGTAATTTTGATTCGTGGTTTTCGAATAAAATAAAAGATTATCAATATGTTCGTAGTTTTCAACTCTATTTCTTATTGCGTAAAGTCCGGGTATTCAAAATGGTCCGGATCCTTCAGATGAGAGTAAATATCGTAAAATTTGAGATCCATTTTCAATTCTTTTGTAATCGTCTTGCGTGAGTCGAGTATTTTCGCCGTAAGTATAGTGCATTTTACCGTATTGCCTTACTCATCCAACTTTATTCTTGAGAGTGCATCGGGCACGGTATTTTCCTTTCCCGGAGTATGTTGAATAATTAAATTAAATTCTTGAAATTTAAGGGCCCATCGAATCAATCTCGGCGATAAGTTCTCCCCTGAATATAACACCTCTACGGCCGCATGATCAAAATAAACTGTAATGCGTGTTATCCAAAATATAATCAGAATTTTTTGTGTTGCTAGCAGCACTGCGAGTGCCGCTCGCTCTGTGGCACTGTAATTTCTCTGCGTGGAATTAAGGGTTTTAGGGTTTTACTAAATAAAGCCCCTGGTTGACCATTCTGCATAAGAACAGCACCCACTGCGTAGTCTTTAATGAAAGGTCTATATTAGGAACACATACCTAAGAATGATTATAGTTTCTTTCCAGTATTTGGCGGAGGGTAGTTTTTAATAGCTATTATTTTAGAATTTTTTGTTTATATTCCTTCACTGGATATTTTATATCCTCTGTACCATAAATAAATGTATTTTTGCCAAGGACTGATTGTAATATCCTATCCATGGCCAGCGGGAAAAGTGGCTAGTGCTCCACATACTCCAAAAGACGTTCTCAAGAAAGCGTACACATCAGACTTCGTAATGAGCGCAGTTTTAGGGACATAGTCAGGCTTCACGCCAATTTGAAAATAGCCAGATATTCGATCCAACGCTGCATGAATTTTGTAGATTTAATTTTTCGGATGATATCCTCAATTATGAGGATGGCATAGACAGGATACTTAGTTATACTATTTAGCTTGCTTTATAGTCAATGGTGAATCCCGATGCTTTGCGGTTGGTAGGTGGAATATCATTTTTTTCCCTATACAGCACCACTGGACTAACATAAAGACTCGATATTGGAGTTATAATTTTATTCTTTAACATTTCTTCTATATGATTCTCAATTATTTTTATCATAACATTAAGGTTTGGACTTCACTGGGGCAGAATTGCCGGTGGTTCACGATATGATGTAGCATGCACACTCGTTAAATAAATTTAAAAACTCACGTACCAGTCCTTTTAACTTGCGTCTTTCCTCTGGCTCCAAGTGCTGTAAATGAATTTCGAGCCGCTGCATTCTTCTTTCAACTTGTTCATCTGTAGCTGTAAAACAGAATCTAGAAAGTTAAGATGAACTTCTGCCGCTTTCAGAAAATCTACTCCAAGAATTACAGGAGCTTGAAGATTTCTTACAACAACAACAACAACAACAAAAAAAAAAAAAAAATGACGTTTAGGTGTTCAACGTTTATTTGTAAATGCTAACAATATCTTACTGATGCAAATAATATCTTCTTGCCCTTGTGCGGCAATAACTTTTGCCCCTCTTAAGTTTAAAAGTCTGTATTGTCGAAAAAACGCTTCTGAACTAAAATTGCGTGTGTTCCGGCATCGATCAGTGCTACTGCAGTGATTTTATATATAAGCACTTTAACAACTGAGAACTGCAAATTTTTCACTATTACGGTATTTAATTGAACTTTTGAGGGATTTTTCTTGATTCCGGGGTAACTGCACACTCTTGCCTTTAGTACCCTTTCATAGTTTAAATTGTTCCCCTAGTTTTTTATTTTGCCCTTTATTTTGGCGACCGTCATTCTTGGTTCTATCTTTTCCTCTTCTATCAAACTGTCTCTTCTGGTCAAATTGTAGTCTTCGCTGAGGAGCTGGCCTAAAACTTTGCCTATTTGAACTCCCGCCATACCCTGTCTTTCTTGCTTTTTCTGCCACGCGTCGGTTTTGGAGCTTAGTTGCTAATTCAGATAGGCTTTTTAAAGCCATCGGGTTGAGGAGCTCTGAACGGTCTTGAGTTTGTGGTAATAATCTCGGTAAAATAACTTGATTATTTTATTCATCTGGCCTCTTGCCATAAAACAGATTAAAAATCTGAACTTTTCTTGAAATGCAATCTATCAAATTCTCGAATTTAGTAAACAACTCCGACTCGAGCTTTGCTCTCTCTTTCACAATGGGAAACGCTTTAAGAAGAACATTTTTAAAATTCTCAAATGTGTAGGTATGGCTTCCTGGCTTACTTAACGCGAACTTCCCAATGTATCTGTACCAAGTGGAGGCTAGGCTTGTAAGTACACCAGGGGCGACAGGAACGCTTTGTGCCTCTAGCACTGTATACAGTAAGAAGTGGGAATTCATTTGCTCAAGAAATTTCGTTATAGAACTTTTCTTATATAACAGGACTGCCCGTTTCACAACAGCTCTTATTGTATCAATCATAGATCTGAATCCTCCATGAGATTAATAACAGCAGGCGGAATTTGCGACGCTGAGGAAGCCAAACTAAATCTTTGAGTTTCTTATGAATTGATTCATTTGGAAGTTCGGACGCCAATATATGATCTGTCCATTTAGATAGCATACAATTAGAGCAAAACACTGAAAGACAGTTTGTGAATTTTCACTGTGTCTTATAAATAACATAAACACAGGCAAATGGTGTAACTTCTACTTACAAAAGCCAGAAATTTTGGCTTTAAATCAAAGATAATGGGTGAACTAAAATTAATGAAATTTTAGTCTAGTCTAACGACTTCAGAGATTAACTAACGCGCAAGCTGGCTCTGACCGAAGTACGACGTAAATAAGCCTAAGGGCTAGAAGACTGGTCAAAGCCCCAGAATACTGATCGCTAGAGAATCAAAGTTACGTGGCCTTTAAGCAGGCAGAATTAATGTGGCCCTCAAGCAGGCAGATCACAGTATAATTTCACCCTCCAAAACCTTCTTGTAAATACTTCCTTTTTAAAACCTAATTTGAATATCGCGCTGGCTGGAAATTTACATTTGATTACATCGAAATTACATTTATATTAAATTTGAGATACTTCTTGAGCAATTCAAGTAAAATGACTTTCTTTTTAAAAAAATGCTGTGCATTTTGCCCTGTATAAGCGTAAAATCTCAGAGGAGAAATTCGATGACATTTCTTTGTTTAAAATTTACTCAAGTAGTTGATGGGCCGTATGGATGTATGACAATCAGTAAATAATGAAAGTTTCAATTAAAATTGATTAAATGTTTGTCATTTTTTCAAACACATTTTTGTATTATTCTCGGGCAGAATTTGCTGAGAAATTTACCTACGCTTTAATGAAATGTTGTGATTGATTAAATCAGTTTTATATGCCCCCATTTGCTATTTGCATATGTTTCATGGCTTTCAATAATGTTTTTACTTATCTGCTTTCAATCTTTATCAAATATGGATGTTATAAGCCAAGCATTTTGAAAAGTAATGCCTTTTTTTTTTTTTTTTTTTTTTTTTTTCCATGTTACTCGCAAGTGCATTCCTGCTTTAGTAAACACATCAGCTATAATTTGACTTCAACTTTACAAGCCTACTTATAGATCATCAAAATATTAAGTAAAGCAATCAATCAAACAAGTGAAAACACTAGCGACAAATGCTGAAAACTAATGAGCTCATGCACTATGATCGCAGAATTGCTAGCTGCTAACTTGTATTTAAGCCAAAATGAAGTATTACCTTTTTTAAAAAATTAATTTTAATAGCCACGTTATTTCCCTCTATACACATTTTACGACACATTAAAAAGAATTAAAATAGCAAAACATAGTTAAAAAAAATTATGGAGTAGCAGAAAATTCCCAGAATCGCAAAGACATAATTTTTAGTAGCACAGGTTAGTCAAAAGTAGCAAATGTGTGAAAAATTGCAGGCTCTGTCAACACTGTTCGAAGTCGTATACGTTATACAATGAGAGAACTACCCACAACTAGTTCGGTAGGTATTGGAAGGAATAAATTGCCATACACAAGTCAAAGTTAATATTAAGTAATAAGTTGAGATGAACTAGCAATTATCACTTGGTAGCTTTGTTAAGATTGATTTCAAAAGTTGAATCTTAAAATTTTGTATATGTTGTACGAAGAAAACTGATGCACTACCAAGAAAATTGATGAATATACGAAAAAAAAAGTGATGCACAACCAAAAATTTAAAAGCCTTGTTATTTAATAACACTGGGATAAAATAAATATTAATAGGTATTAGATATGAAACTTTAATAGCAATCATAACCACCCATTTTAATATTTGGACATAAAAACTGTTTTAAGACTTTCAAAATAATTTCTGTGGCATCTAATAGGTGAGTAAATTTTCAAAGGAATCGGTTCTAATTTTGAACTTTTAAAGATTTTATATTTTTAAATTTAATACACATTGTTATCGCTTATACACGTGCAGTTTGCGACGACGAGAAGAGTAAAGTATTACCCATTACCTGCTTTATCATAAATATTCCTAAAATCGGAGAGGTCTGAAGAATTACCCCCCCCCTTTCCGAATCTTATCGACATTTCATTTCTAGAAATTTCGAAACTGGATCGAAAAACACTTTCACTGTATCTCCTCTATCACGTTCCTTTTCCCATTCGGCAACATTGTCGCACGATTCTGCAGTATTTTACAGGATGAATGGACTATAATAATAATAATGATAACAATAACATTTCTGAGTCCAAAAGATTAAAAAAGAGGCGGGAGGGGGAAACCGATAAAGATTTCCCCACGTGCTCCAGCTCACTTGTTGCAAGCAAAGTCCAACGAGCCAATCAGAGCGCCGAGATTTACTCGAACTCCTGAGGCAACGCGCAGGTGATCAGCATATCCAAGGTAACCACTATAAAACCCGGTTAGCTCGCGTTTAGCCGGTAAGCGAAGGAAAGAGACCCACATTGCTCCAAAGTTTTGGCGAGAAAAGCTCTCTCATCTTCCATCTCTCCTGATCTGATCTGGCAACAAGTTTTTCCTGAAGAGGGAATCCGCGCGCACAAGGCTCTATCATAAAACACTCCACGCGGCGAGAGCTGCATCCATTCTCTTCTCCAGATGGCGTGTCGAAGGATCCTACGGCAAATTGTCCAGATCACGGCGCAGCGGAGAAAACGCTGCACGGCGGCGGCAGCCACAACGGCGGGATGCCCTTTCCACCGGCCGGTAAAAGCCGCTCCGGAGGCCCCGCTGACGAAGTCCGATGTCGATTCATTGAAGCCTTTTGATGCTATACCTACCCCGAAAGGACTTCCCTTGGTAGGGACCTTGTTCGATCTTATTCGTAAAGGCGGGTCTCAGAAAATTCACGAATATTGTGACATGAGGCATCGTGAACTCGGACCCATTTTCAGGGAGAAACTCGGGACTGTCGACGCTGTTGTCCTGTCTGACAAAGATTACATCCAAAGAGTTTACTATTCAGAAGGTCGATATCCTGTTCATATGGTCCCTGAAGCTTGGCTCATATACAACGAGTTAAAAGGAATCAAGAGAGGCCTATTTTTCATGTAAGTACTAAATTCTGTGTTCTCTTTCATTGTAATATTCCCGACTGCAGAATAATATGAGAGTAACGTACTGATAGCCGGTAATGTAAAACTGCGCATTCTGCAAAGCGGGCTGGTTAAATTAAAGGTTTACTAAATATAATACTAAATATAATCTAAATAAATACGTGTGCAGGGAAGCGGTTAAAATTACAAGGACAAGGAAGAAGTTTAATTTCTTATTCTTGCAAATTTTATGTGCATCCGTCCAGACGGTATCATACCTCCAAGATCCCTATTATGAAATACATAACTTGCTTTCCCTTTTATTTCAGGAATATTAAAGAGAACTCGCGAATGATGTCAGTTGTAAATGTTGATTATACAACTTTGTGTGAAGCTGAATTTCATAATATTAGACATCTTTCAGAGGAAATGCCTGTAAGCAAATAACATTGTTCAACCTTTGCAAGTTTGGTATTATGCTGTCTTGGCATTTGAAGTTAACTTACTATAATGTATTTCTCTAAACTACCTGAAATAACAACTGGTACTGAAGTAATTTTAAGATTCAATTAAATGTAAATCATTTGTGAAATGAAAGCATATTTTGTAGCAACTCTTTTTGCATCATTCTCCAAAATGAACTTAAAAGTGTTGTCTTTTAATTTCCAGAGTTCGTCATCATTTTTCATCACTTTCAAGAAACGCGCTTTTCTAAAAACTACGTGTTTGCCTGAGCTTCATATTATTGATTATTATTGTAAGTTTTAACTTTATAAGGAATTTTAACGTTCTTTCAGGTCAAACGGGGGGAGGAACAGTCGTGAATTCTCAGGATAAATACGTCTTCTTAAACATTATAAATAATTGGGGTTTTTCAGTATGAAGTTCAGACTTAATTTTCTAAATTAAAGTTTTAACTTGCTAAATTTGAAAAAGTTGAAATTTCTTTCAAAATTAATTAATATTTTCATCTTGGATAACTTTCAGGGGAATTTATATTGAAAAGTATTTATATACTGGAATAATGAAAACTATAAATGTGATTTTTGCAAATTTAATGGTATGTTAAAAGGATTTTAGACTTCTGTAATGTTTAGAAACAAATAACCAATGAAATATAGTCTTCCTTCTTTTAAATATGAGTATTCATTTGACTTTTGTAGAGTACAAAATTTCATTATTTAGACTTAACTACGTTTAGAAGAAACTAAGTTCTCCTTCATGGGGAAATTATTTAATTCAGTCGTAATTAAAGTTTAGAGATAGTACGTTATTGTTGTTAAAATACGTATGTCTGTAATGAAAATTATTTTCATTTTATATTTATCAAAATTAGCTCTTTCGTGACTCTGCTTTGGAATTTTTTCAAATGGACTTATCTCAGATTACAAGTTCCAAAATTTAAATATGTGACAACCGATTGAATTCTTTCAAGTGCTGAATAAGCTCGTAAATAAGACACTCGGCTAAGAACATCTCATTGTAACGAAACTTTTCTGACACGTAGTTCACTATCGCATAATGATGTTATCAACTTTTTCAGGAGTTTCGGTGAATAATTTAGAATACTGCGTTCTCTCTTGAACAGGGTTCTTTTGGTACTTTTACAAAACTTTACTTTTTACTTACCTTATTCTTTGATACTATGGCTTGATTCCACGAGAAAAAGTTTTTTTTATTTGTAATTTAATCCAAGATGCCTGGCAGAAGAAATGAACGCAATATTGTTTCGTCTTCAACATGCTAACATGTTCCCTTCCGAAGATGAGTTAAATCTTTAAAACCCAAAAAGTTATCATTCCATACAGTATGTTTCTGAAATCATTCTGCTTGGATACAGTATTGAGTGTTGAATATGTATAAAATACTGTAATTTCATGTAATTGTTTATACGCTTTAGATAAAAGGTGAGATTCCATTGTGTCATTAGAGAGATTAAAAGGTTTAGAATATGATGAAAAATGACATTTGAGACATTTATTGCTCTTGAGTCGCATGAAAGCACGGGGACAGTTTGGGAAAAACACGAGAGTTTGTGAATTTGCCCCGATTTGCAGTAGAATAATGAGAATTAAAATTTAACAGGAGAAACTTACGCCATGAACATATGCTCTATTTCTCCCATTCCTGAAATCTGGGCCATGAGCCAATTTACATATTTTGTCCAATGATTTTAAACTCATTCGTTCTGTCTGTAAGTTTATACCTGTTAAAAGCACAAAGCTGTTTTCAAAGAACTCAATCTCAGTTTTAAAACTGGGACAAGAATGCTAATTGAAAATTTCTTAATGTTAAAAATTTTTCCTAACAACGTTCGATTTAGTTTCTCTTCAATATTTTACTTTCATAGGTATATTAGATAAAATAAAAGAAACTGGTAAATATAGGAATATTTTTGTGGTTAATTTTGAATAAAAAGTTTAATCAATAAATATGAGATGTAATCACATATTTGTTTTACGCTTTTACTTCTGTAAATCATCTGAATATCGATGAAAACTAATAAGTTTTCGGTACTGCCGTCAAATCCACGAAACTGCATTTCGCCTCCCATTTTCTCCTAAATGCATTTTCTGATTTATTTTAAATATTCTGTCAAGAAAATTACTAGTCTATTGGATGCAATTAGCAGCTATTATGTAAAAGTTACTCATTTTCCCCTGACGTTTGAAATCCTTTAAACGCGTTTTCGAAACAACTATTTTGTAGATTCATGTTTTTGGTGTAGTGGTTTGGTTTATTTTTTGATTATGATAAAGCACGCGAAGGCTATTTCCCTAAGGGAAGGGATTCCTTCGTGGAATACTTTCTAAGGAAAATTGGCTTATATACAGGTTGCACATGGGAGGACATATGCAGCCAGTCCAGTCGGGATTCGAACTCTGGACTCAAAGCAGCGACTTTACCGCTCAGACGCAGATGGACACTTTTGGTGCAGTGACCTAAGCTATTGTAAAGTTCGAGCATTTAACTTTTCATTCTGCTGTATGATAACTAGTTTTCAGAACTCGTGAGACCTTAAACGAAGCAGAAATACTGAGAGTAATATATATTAAGTGAAACTGATCAGGAAATATCGTAACTGTGTAATTTGAAACAAGTCTTTTCGTCGGGTATGGTTGGCTTAATGACTTAAAAAAAATTTTTAAACTAAGAAATGCACGCGAACTTGAATATGTTGCAGATTTCATCCTTCTTATGAAATAACTTCCTTAATTGGACGAATTTTTTAAGAATCGTTTTTACAAATGCATCTTTAAGTAACAAATGAGCCAACTCCTTATCAAGATATAATTGCGCCAAAGGTTCAGAAATTCTGGAAAGAATCTACTGATTCATGCATTGTTGTTTTAAGTTGAATATATGTTCAATTGTTGAGGTTCAAGACTTTTTTTTTTTTTTTTTTTCATGATTGCATGAATTCTTCTAAAGCAAAATGTGAGTGTATTTAACATTTGATATTAACGGATGTAATTATGCTGTATGCGCGAGTTTGGCGAAAAACTATAGCATTCATTTAGCGATTGATTTTTTTAAGAACACGCAAATTAAAATTATCGTTTTGTACTAATTTCAAATGAAGCTACCCAATGCTTATTCGGGCTTTTTTTTTTTTTTTTTTAAATCGAAATTCCTTTCAAATTGGCATTAAATTTTTGTCCGATTTTATAATTTAGATGAATGTAATAGCCACACGGGCAGTCGAATAAATGCGCCTTTAAGAGTTAGTTTCGAAAAGAGCTTGAGAACAAGGCTTAGTTTCGACATGCCTGCTTTTATGCAAACTATATTTGCTCCTTTGCAAGTGCTGGGCTCACGTTTACTACTAGCGTGCAAGCAAATAACAATCACGTTTGTTTACAAGCTGAATTTTATGCACGCGTATTTAAATGTGGGCTTTAGTACCTCGAGGTCGTAAGTGTTGTTTGCTGCTGTGAACGCAATATAGAAACAGGGGAAGGTGCATTTTCGCAATGCCGAGTGATTAATGCTCCCTTTCGCTTCCAGGGACGGCGAGCAGTGGCGAGACAGGAGAAAGCTCCTCAACGAGGCCCTCTTGTCGATGGGCGAGGTCACTAAATACGAACAGGCTTTCAATGACGTAGTGACAGATCTCACTGACCGCTGGCAGACTGTCTCCCGCAGAGAAGAGGATGGCGTCGTTCCGAACCTCGAGAACGAGCTCTACAACTGGTCCATTGAAAGTAAGTGAACTTCTTGCACTTCAGATGTTCATTATTACCTAAACATAAATAAAAAGAAGACTAGCTGGTGCGCTAATGAAAAGGAGCAAATAAATTTTTAAAATAATTAAAATTATATATTTAAATAATTAAAAATTTATATAAAAAGCAATAAGGGTGTTAAATTGAAATTGTTGAGGAGAAGCAGGTAAAGTAACTGTTTCATATCAGAGCATTGTAATCATGGAACATCCTTTCTTACCTAAATATTTTTGAGCAAGTGGTTCTTTTTACATTTATTTACAAAAGATTAAATTTGAAGATCTAACACATGTTGAAATAGTAGAATTCCTAAATAAATTGTTGATTAGAAATTAATTTTTTCAGTTATATATTAAATAGTATATTTGATCGGATTTGTTTGTAAGATCTGCCTGGAATTTTTTAAAGAGACCGTTGTATAGTATTTTAAAAACGACTGAGTGTTTTTATTAAAACAACCATCAATTTAATTTTAATGAAGCAAGTCATTTGAAAATTCCATTTGTTATATATACAAATTTCTTACGATATCGGATGATTCGATACTAAACCTACAGAACATTGAAACGTTTTCTCTTATGTATTAAAATTTTTAGGTTCGACTACATTCGTAATTTTTTTCTTTGCCATTAATTGCTGCAGAATAATTTGACATGCATGTTATAATGAAAAAATGGAATTTCTTCCGTCACGGCATTTAGTAACAACTGATCAAAGTATAATTCCAGTTATGTATTATTTTATTACGTGACAGTTCGATCGAGAAATATTTTCATAAAATGCTTTCCAGGCATTATTTTGAGAAATTTTAATTAGTAAAACTTAGAAGATTAAATATAGTAAATCCAAAAAAAGTTTATGCGTATGTAAAGAGCAGAATCCAAAAACTCTATTTTGACTTATTGAACTGACAGGAAATGCGAACAGTATATACTGTTCAAAAAATACTTTTTAAAACCGATCATGACCACCAGATGTCGCAATGTTAGAAATTCGACTCCAGGAAGGTCGAAATACGTCTTTCTCTTCCGCCAATATCGAAAGTTGATGTCCTCGTATGTAGGCTGCCTGAGGTCACACGCACCTCTCTTTTTTGAGTTCTTGTTTTTCTTTTAATATATGTAGTCAACCCCGTTATTGTAGCGTATTCCAGCTCATTACGAAGGCAAAACGGAAGAAGACTAAAACAATTCTCGGCACGCTGTCGGCTGTAAAAGAATTTGCTTCCGTAATTCTTGTCTCAGTGAATCTTTGAATAGATTTCTTTTCCTAGCCGAGCGTTTTAAAAGAAGATAATAAAAATACGCTCAGGTTCTTCAAATTCCACTTTAAAAGAACGAAGAACATGCACGAGAAAAATTTTATTTAGTATTCATTCCATTCCCAATAGTATTCTTGAATTCTGACGTAATATAACCTGATTGTAAAACCCTTAATTATAATTCATTCGTTATAACCCATTATCAGAATTCTCTGCATAAGATGATCATATTACGAAAAGTAATTTTTCTTTATTCAAATTATGACTGATTTTTATAGATGCGAGAAGGAACCTTTTTGTTTCCATAAATATGAGAAAATATATCGCGCGTTTGTTCTAAGGCGAAGGTGCTCTACAAGTAGCCGAGTGATTAAAACCGCTGAATACTAGAAGTCCGACATGATTCTATTCGAGGCGAACGGGCTAGCTGCATGGTTAGTTTTCGTTGTTTCCCTTATGTGTAACGTGAATACGAACCAGTTTTCCTTCGACAGTCCTCCACGAAGGCAATCCTCACCTTAGCTAGCCCTCGTGTGCTTTCCCGTATTCAGATAATAGATTAATAAGTCGGTTAATTAGGCTAAATAATTGGCAGCGCATTATCAAGGAATAATGTTTTTGATTTTAATCCTGCATGATATGAGTTGCATTTCGCCGCTTCATGTGGCAAAACGTAATTGCATTTCTTTTGGTTAAGCAAAAAGTCTGACAGTATACATTAAGAATAATAAATTTGTAACGTTTTAGTTTGAAATAGGTTTTGCATATGAAACTGGTACCATTGCTCAGATGCCTATACCTTCTTCAGATTCATTTAGTCTCAAGAAACACATTTAAAAAATTGAATATTTTAATGATACTTTACTGTTAGGAACTTTAGAAAAGGAAATTGCAATTTTTATTTTGTAGCAAGACTTATGAGACAAGAGAATGAACGTAAGTTTTAATTCCAGTAATCTCTGAAGAAACTTGGAAAAAGAATTTTTTGGAAGGGGAGTATATCTATTTTATTTTAACATTTACACAACGAGTTACACCATGAGTTACAGGTTTAACAACGGGAAAGTTATTACATAGCATTTATTCTATTCACGTCTACATTTGTCCCACAAGTTTTTCTTTCCTTCCCCTCTCAATATCAGAGAAAGAATTGATGATTGCACGCCGATCGTCTAATAGTGTCAAGGCCAAGGAGAATGAAGCGTGCAGTATATTACACTGTAGCATCCGCTGCAAAACGCTGATACATTTATCCTGAACTTTACTTGTACTGTTTCATAATGAGAAGGAACGAGTTTGGCGAAATCGTCAGTTACGAGTTGATCTTCATTTTAAATATACCATGAATGGAAGTTACCATTTTTTTTTTTTTTTTTTTTTTTTTTTTTTTTTTTTTTTTTGTTCGGTAATACTTATGGTATTAACAACAGTAATGCACGCAGGTGTAGATTTTGAATAAAACAGTCTTTGAGGGCGATAAAACAAGCCTTCAGAAGCAAAGTAATTTTTACATTTATCCATGTATCGTATCGCTTATTTCAGTTGAAAAGTTTACTTTGAAATTTTTATATTTTAATAATATTCAGTAAAATTTTCTATAGGCGTTTCAAGCTAACTTTCATTAGGGCTTCTATGTGTTTTGCTTACAAAAATTAAGTGCAGATTACAAGCAGCGAGTAAAAAAATTTAATAACGATAAAGGAAAATTAATAACTTGCGTGTGAAATCAAAAGGGGGAAATGTTGTATAATACTTAAAGAATACCATTTGATTAACTAAATAATGGTTGCATCTGTGACTTGTTTTCCCCAAATTTTTTATTTTGACCCTAGCGCATATCCCCCCCCCCCCCCCCCCGTAACGTGAAGTACATTCCCGAAACATAGATTCATCTGTTCTCAATAATTTTCATTTTGTGCAATAATCCGAACATTTCGGGAGTATCATAAAAACAGTTCTCTCTGAAACCGCTTAAATCCTTTCTTGCGAAATTTGTTTCTATATAAATTCGCATCGTCACATTTTAATTTATTTTTACGATATTGCTGGATTAAAAACATTTATTTTAAAATGCAGATTCCATGAATGGAAATGAAGTCTGATGATATTTTGAGATTACGTAAAGTCCGTGAGTTGTTAGGACTCATAGTATTTGATTATGAAACTTTGTACAAAATTTCTGGAAGTATATCAATGCATTTATTTAGAAAAAAATCGTTTTTTCAAGATGGCCACCATATAAAAGTCCAGTTCTATGAAGCATTAATAGTGGAATTGACATACAACTCTTAATCCATAGCATATCTAATTATTGAAAAGCAGAACTATTACTGATAACATTTCCATCCTATGGGTATCAGCCAAAACAAAATGGAATTGTGAACGAAAAAAAAAAAAAAAACTCTGATACACACACTGGTGACGGCGGAAAAGTTAAAAAAAGAAAAAAGATTTTACCCGTGACATAGATTTCTTGTTGTGGGAAGATGGGCAGAAATGGTGTCATTGTCAACAGGGGCGGTGGAAGGCCGTGTCCTTGACGTTCAAGAAAGATTCTTCGTAACCTCTTCAGGCTTCTGCAACTGTTACGGGCCAACCAGTTTTCAACCTTGTAATCTACTTACAGACGGTGTCGGTGTTTGTAGGCGGTCGATAACGAATGGCCTTTGATGTACAGCAAGCGCGGAAGTAAAACGTTCCCCATTTCTCTTATCGTATTCGGCACGACTGCATTGTAATCATTTAATATGGTTCGAGCTCTTCTGATTAGTACCGAGTTTTAAATAGGTGTAAAAATCTTAAAATATCTCTTTCTATTTATGTTTAAATCAAGAATTTGCATATTTTTTGATACCTTGATATTCAGTAAAAATACATGCATTCAGTAAAAACGCGCTTGCATGGAAACTTAAGGGGGTCCATAATAGAGCCTTACGGTAGAATGTTTACGCAATATATTAAAGTTTGACGATAGAGGATCATAATGTAAAAAGTCTAATTCAATACTATATTAACCTTCTCGTCGTATAGTATGTTTTCTAGAAACCTGGTCATTAAGTTTTGCTAACCAAAAAACATTTTATTGCCTGCGGAATATCATATGCATTTTGGTTCCTTTTATCAGTTTCTGTGAAAATTTTAAGTTCGTAGTTTTTAAGGAATTTTTAGCCCTAAAGTCCGTTAACCCGAATGGGCTATTAGTCTCGAAACCGGATTTTGCGTTGTGTACTGTAAACTGCGATTCACTTCAAATTGTTTCAACCATATACTATCGCCCTGTGTTATTTTTAAAAAAATTAAATAATGAAGAATTTGCATGTACTGATAAATAATCTGTTTCTTGCGTTGTGAAAAACGACGAGGTAGATGGTTTTGAACCATAGGCACTCCGTAAAACGAACTCATTAGTACCTAGAGTCATTAAATTTGGAATAACGTATCTCTATCCGAGTATGTGCACCTACCTGGATGCCCGAATTTGAATTTCGAATTTTATTTTATATTTTGTAAATCTTTAATGAATTTTGATCAACATGCTCAGTGATTTTGAAAGCGAGCAGTGGGAAATACTGGACGAAATAAAACACTTTTATATCTCCAGCGCGCGCGACTGTTTGTCAGAAATTCTGATGATACGCTGTTTTTAAATATTTGGAATTTTACCGTTGAAATGAAGTTTGTCACCCAAGTGTCAGGAACATGATATCTAATAAAGTTA